CGAAAATGCAGTCCGTGGCTTTGTTTACGAGTTATTAACGAAAAATATTGACCAATGAGAGGCGAGCTCGCATAGCGCTAGGCGGCTGAGCCAATCAGCGAAATTGGGTTTCGATCGCTCGTTGGCTCGGCCGCCTAGCGCTATGCGAGCTCGCTTCTCATTGGTCAATGTTTTTCGTTAATAACTCGTAAACAAAGCCGCGGATTGCATTTTCGATAAGGAAAAAGTTACTTCAAATGACCTCAGGAATCATCCCTTCCCAGGTGTTAACATAATTATAGGACATACTGTATGAAAAAGTAATTTTTATCACATCCAGCGAATTTTCCGATTTATTAGGTCGAGTTATAAATAACTTCCGATGCAGGTAGAATCAAACAAACGAATTTTTGCTTTCACTAGATAGATAAGGGTTCAAAATAAATAAAATGGAAAAACAAAAGAAAACAAGACAAATGTCCGATAAAAGAACAGAAGTTATTTATGACTCGACCTCTAATACATTCTAAATTTTTATGATTGCACAAAATTTCGCGAGATATCTTTGATCGAGACGACTCACTGTTATCGTTTCCACTGGACGGCTGAGTTCTAGCTATTCTCGACATCAGATTTTGCATTTCAGTGCCAGTCGAGGGCCCCTTGCTTTGCTGCGTGTAAAGCTGCAAGTCCTTGCAGAAGAAGCACAGAATGAATTTGATCAGAAAACTCAAGGCTAAGATGGATCCTGTCAAATAGCATAAATAGTTTCCGAGGCTTGTACTGTGATGGAGGCGACACGGTTTAAATTGAGATTCCCGGTATCTGCATGTTAAGTCGGCTATCGCGTCGTATGCGAACTTTCCGACAACATTCACAAAAATGGTGGACCACATCATCCAGAAAGCTATGCTGAGACACTTGTCCTGCTTGTACACCGATCTTAGAACTATTAAGAAGTCTCCGGCGAACATTGACGCGATCAGGGCGTAGACCAGCAAAGTGCCAAGCTGAAAAAGATCACTCGATTGTAATATATAAAAATGCTATTAGACCTTGTTAATTTGTACGTTCCTTTGCATTCTAAAAACTTTTTCATGGCCAGAAATGCGTAAAGATTGAAATGGTAATCGCAAACGGTTTATTCACCTCAAAAAGTACCCATGCAGTTTGACAGTTGCTCGGATCGCAAGGTCCTTCGTACATTTCTGTATTCTTTAAGCAAAGGCAATCGCTGTAAATCGTGCTACCGTCCTTGATTTCCGAAGTGGTGCATCCAGCATGGCAGGGACTATAATAGGTGACCATTTTCCTGTCGTCACAAATCGGATGGAATTCGGCGTCTTTCGAGCAACCGCAATGCCTGTTGCAGTATTGTAGTAACGAAATTCTGAAAATAAACATACGCTATCAACAAACGCTAACAATTACCGAGAATTTCATAAAATATTGTCCAAAAGCGGCGACAACGTCATCACTAATTCAACAAATTATTTGTGGATTATTATAATGTAACAACTTCTTCTAAAATTGTTATTTCAAAGAAAATTCAATATTACGATACAATAGAAATTGTAATTTAATTTTTAATGCATTCATATTGCTCTGAGAAGTTTTGTTTAGTCTACAAATTAGATTTGTATAAATAAATTTAGTTTCTATAATAAATGTAATTCTCTTCGAACAGTCGAATAAAGAACTATCCAATTCACGTTCGATTTAATTAGAGTTTCATTAGTTAGAAATCTACTTACTCTCCTTTCGCGTTGCTGCCAACGATAGGTTTCTTCTCGCAAGATGTTAGAGTAAGTACGCTAATGATCACGGTCGATAAAATCGTGACTACTATACCGTACGACAGAACACCTCTGGCGCTAGGTTTCGCTTTTGACATTATCAGGCCCGAAACCATCACGATCAGGCCAATCAGAATGGGCTTCAAAATGTCTGAAATGAAACCGAATTGATATCGCACGTTCTAAACTCCATCTTGAATGCTTTCAAGAGCATCGTTCCCATTTGCTCCTTGGAGAACGTGGAAATATATTCAAATATATCCTTTTATATTTTATTTTAGAATTCGAACTTTCAGTTAATATTTTTTGGATATAGAAAATCTGCAACTGTTTCGAGATCTGTTGCATTGGAAGTTATCTTTAAGTTACAGAAGACTAAAATACAGAAATTCGAGGGACTCAAATTCACTAATTCAAAGGATTCAGGAATTCGATGAATTCACACACGTTCAGAAATTCGAAGGAATTATATTTTGGAATTCAAAGGATTCAACTTCAGAAATCCAAGCGATTCGAATTCAAATCAAAGACTCGAATTTAAAATATTCGAATTCACTAATTAAAGGATTGAAATTCGGATGTTTAAAAGATTCATAGGTTCAAAGTTCAGTAATTCAAGATATGCAACATCAGAAATTCAAAGAATTGAAAATGTGTAAAAAGGTTGACTTCTGTAAATGATAGAATGGAATATCATTCTTAATTAATCGACATAGATGCGTTTCAACTTACTTATTGTCAGCCTGGAGACTAATGGATCATTGAAACCGAGTAACTTCCCAATCGGCTTCGACACGTGGAATCTCGATTGTATAATAAGATTCTCGTAAGCCATAAAGTTCATCATGGCCATCATGTAAAATGCACACGCAAGAACGATGAATATTAAAATTTTGTTAACGAATAATCTGCCCACAGACGAGAAGAAACCGTCGTCTTCCGATTTCTCGCTTAACAATCGACGAGGCGGTCGTCTGTCCATGGTGTTATACAACAACGAAGCTGCGGCACGTTCAACAAGCTGCTATCATTATAAACAATTGTCAATAATTTTTAATAATTATTTCTTTATATGAGAGTTTCTCGATATGTGATGCTTATATTTATCTTATATTTATATTTTTTATGTGTGAATCGATTATGTTTAGAAATTACCTCAGATGGTAGCATTCTAGGGAACCATGATAATAATAAACCAGGTACTATAAGTAACAATGTAAAAATTGGCAGTCCCAGCCACCATGCACCGATATGCTCTCTGTAGGTGTCAATTTCAGTCAGCGTTGTTGTGTCTAACCTGCAACAATAAAATTCCAGAACAGATTAGAGATAAAATTGTCTACGTAAATTGCAGCTTTAAAATAATCTGGTTCGTGCAATTTAACGAAGTCAGCATTATAATAGTTTCTAGAGTACTAACAAGGAGTAAAAGAATCTGAACGTGAAATGAAGATTTCTAAACGATTGAACTGTTTCTTGGATTCAATATTATTTAATCAACACGAAATTATTGTCCAACGCACCGAGGCGGTAAAAGATCATAATTGTAATAGTTGATTAGGTTTGCTCACCTGAGACACACCCACGCCAGGATGAATCCTAGAAGAACACCCACGATTTTCACAGCAATGGCGACCCCGATAAAACCACCAATGTTCTTCTTCTTTGTGTTGTCATCCAGATAAGGAATGGCTAATGCGTAGTACGATACATTTGCAATGCCGTTTATAATTTGTACGGCAATCAATACAGCGAGTGTAAAGTAACAGGGCTCCTCTTCTCTCGCCACTATGTTAGTCGGAGTTTCGGAACATAATTCGTAATTATCCTCTGAAAAGTGAAAAGTACCAATAGCAGTTAAATTTAAACAAGTATTACATTATAATTAGTATATTTCGCAGTGTACTAATTGATTCTTTCTAAAGTGGTTAATCGATCAAATTTGATATAATGAATGAAACCACATCTATTACATTATCAATCACTTTCAATGTAACGCGTCCAATTAATTTCACATTAAAACTCCTGCAAACAGATCATTTCGAAGGTCGAACAATTTTTAATTTACTGAACTTGATATTTAATTAACAGGCTAACATGATTCATAAACAGAATTTAGAACTAGTACAATTGCATTTTATTGCTTACCTGCGTAGTGATACAACGTGCGTGTCATGTTCTGAGTCTCTTGGATGATTTTAATTTGATGCGTCAAATGGGGAATGATCATTATGAAAAACGACACGCTTTGTATGAGAATTATACCGCCGACCCATGCCACTCTGTGAATCCTGTCACCCCAGTAGGCAACAATTAGACCAACAAGGAATGGTGTCAAATCTGGCACCCTCAAGATCCATTCTGCAAAATATAATTTACGATTGATAGTATTGCTGTTTACATCAACATCTTAAGTTGATCGTTCGATTAAATAAGGTATGCGTTGAAATAAGACTTGAATGTCGCACTTATTTATATATATATATATATATATATATATATATATNAATCACTTTCAATGTAACGCGTCCAATTAATTTCACATTAAAACTCCTGCAAACAGATCATTTCGAAGGTCGAACAATTTTTAATTTACTGAACTTGATATTTAATTAACAGGCTAACATGATTCATAAACAGAATTTAGAACTAGTACAATTGCATTTTATTGCTTACCTGCGTAGTGATACAACGTGCGTGTCATGTTCTGAGTCTCTTGGATGATTTTAATTTGATGCGTCAAATGGGGAATGATCATTATGAAAAACGACACGCTTTGTATGAGAATTATACCGCCGACCCATGCCACTCTGTGAATCCTGTCACCCCAGTAGGCAACAATTAGACCAACAAGGAATGGTGTCAAATCTGGCACCCTCAAGATCCATTCTGCAAAATATAATTTACGATTGATAGTATTGCTGTTTACATCAACATCTTAAGTTGATCGTTCGATTAAATAAGGTATGCGTTGAAATAAGACTTGAATGTCGCACTTATTTATATATATATATATATATATATATATATATATATATATATATATATATATATATAGAGAGAGAGAGAGAGAGAGAGAAAAAAGATATATAATAAATAATAAATAAATTATATATAATAAATAAATTAACCAACACACAAAATTCTTCTGGTTTCCAAACGTGCACACAACAATATTTTTACCAAACAATCAATATACGCATGCATACATTAGTTTAAATGCGAAATGTTGAATATTTACATTACCTCTATAATTACGCTAAATAATTTATGCAAGCTTTGTGAGAGGGGGATGGAGATGGAGAACGCGCGAAGGGTTACGTCAACGGAGGGTAAGAAGGTGGAAGAGGAATGGACGAAAACGATTCTGCAGGAAGACGGAGGAGAAAGAAAGGATGAAGAGAGAGGAGTCGGAGGGTGAGGTACAAGAAAGGCGGAGGAAAGCATGTGGTCAGGAGGGTGGGATCATACAGCTAAGGTTGATGGTAAACTGAAATATGAAGATATACGCTCTCTATGCAGTAAATTCTCTCGAATTGTCCCTCAGCTTGCTAACAGAAGTGGATAATTTGGGAAGAGGATTGTTTGAGGCACGCGCCTCGTTTTTATAGTTGTTGGCAATCGGCGACTATAAAAAACGAGCCCAAATTGTCCATTTATGTTTACAAGCTGAGAGACAATTGAAGAGAATTTGCTGTAGCCTGTTTTTCTTATGAAAACATCTGAAATTAGTTCACAGTCATAATAACTGTCCACTTTGCTCCTTTGTTGCAAGCCTAAAGTAATAGGGGTGGGGCGGACAGCTATTATGCCTGTGAACACATTCCTGTATCATTGCTCAGAATACTCAAAATTTAGTTCATAATTTATATAATTTCTTACATAGAAGTGGTATTTCACTTGCACAAATTATTTGAAGCCACCGAAAATCATTTTTCCAAGATTTTATGAGCTGTGTTAGTTACACGATGCTGTATTATTCAAAGTTAAAGAGAAATGCATTTGTAATCATCTTTGTTCAGTATTGTTTTGTGAAAAATAATGGCATTAGAAAAATAGTGGAAATTAGAGATTTCAATAGCTTGTGCATAATAATCAGACCTGGGCAAATTTGAAATGACATTATTCGAATGATTATTTCGAATAACATATGATTTGTTTTCATAATTATTTCCATGCCGGTGATTTCTTTTGAAATATAACTCTTGAGATAATTATTTATGATAATTGTGAAGATCTTGGTAGTTGTAAATGTAATCCATACAATAAAATCTATTTGTTGCATATTAGTCCAAGAATTACTTCTTTTGTCATATTTGAAATGAAAAGAATAACGAGGTAATCTTTGTATAAAATGTTATTATTCCGAATGCATTGATATTTTTGATGCTCGGTTGACAGCATCGAAGATAATGGTTCGGAATAAATTATTTCAAACATCTATTTCTTATTTTCATTCTCCACATGAAATTTGCACAGGCCTGATAACAATGACTTCGAATAGGAGGCAAACGGGTACATATTTACCCATCAGGTATGGATCTATTTGGAATCTCCTTGCGATCGTGGGTCCAGCCACGTATAAATACGCATACGCAGCTCCCTGAATGATGCCGACCCATGCCAGCAGTCCGATGAACAATCGTCGTGTCGCGAATCTCGTTAATTTCGGACATGGCAGTTGTGCACAACCGCAGTCGATCGACTCGTCCGGTATCGGGTTGGCTGGTCCTGTCAAACCACCTTCCACTTCCGACCTCACCACCTCTTGGAGCCGTATAGTCATGCCTTCGAAACAGAGTCAACGTCTGAATATCGACTACCCTGCTATCTTTTCGTTTGTTGCTAATTCAACGGTTACTTGAGAATATATTGAATAAAATTCGCTGAATATTGCATACTTTAACGAAGCAAATATGAGTTTAATGGATCCATTATGCGATTTTTGTTCATAGAAGTACGATGGCCTTACTGATACGAACAAAAATTAGCATTTCAGTATACAAGTAATATATGAGTATTTAAGCATGATCGTACATTATTTTTAACTCACTGAAATTGTTCGAGGAAGAAAGAATTTTCTGACCACTGCTTGTTTCAGTTGTTAAAGATAATGTTTATTTTATGTAAAAATTAATAATTAAACAAGCAGAAGTCAGAGAAAATTCGTTCTTTCTCGAACAGTTTCAGTGAGTTAAAAATAATGAACAACCATTATATTCTAGAATATAAATTGCTTGAAAATATTCATCGGAAAGAGAAATAATATTTACGACTGGACAGCTGTTTTTGTACGTTTACGGCAAAAGTAGGACGTTGAATTATGAATATAAACATTTTACTACTTGAAAAAGATCCGCTGTCTATTCGCGATATTCAATCGATGTTCTAATTTGTGCACTGATAAGTAAGATTAACGCGCGAAGTACCGATTCCCTAAAAATATATATCGTACGTTCGGAACCATTAATAACTGTGTCGTCGACTGAAGGGGTGAATGATGTCATAATCGTTTGCGCAATTGTTAAATATTACCGATTACGATATCGAAACCATAAACTCTTTTTTGCCCATCGTTGCGTCATGTACATATGCAACCGGCAAAATCAATTCCACCATTAAGCAAACCTTATTAATGTTAAGTTCATCAACGAACGTAACGGAGCACCGAATCGCACAGTTTCCTAGCACCCAACTTAAAAAGATAATTACTAGACATAGCAGCTCTCGGAAAACGTCCGTGAAATACGATAGTAATTCGTGATGCTGCTGTTGCGGCTGTCATAAACCTAGTAGAGACGAATATGGAGCGCGTTGCACGTGTGTGATCGTTTATGTGTCATCATGAATCACCTGATGACGTCTCCTCGGAGAGGATTCCAGGAAGCTATTAGTTCGGCGATTCGTGTACCGTTTCGAAAATTGGAGAAAATGAAAGACGGGTGTCGATCGTCGAAAGCTTCCCGACCGATCGACCTAATCGACTCGCGCTCACTTACTGTATACGGTAAATCCGAATTCGTTCGAGTATCTCTCTTCTTTTCTCTTTTTTTTTTTGTCACTCGCGGCGGCACACGGCGGAGCACGCTACTTTTTGTACAGGTGCGGCAGCGAAACTGGTCGTTCAATCACATAATGGCGCGGTACCGTCGACACGGTGTCGTTTTAGAATTCCGAAACGATAGACTTCCTTTCTTTTCACGAAAACGGAGCAACGGGCACACCAACACCGCCAACGTGAGGCCAGAGGCGCGGCAGTTTTAATCGACGAACACGCGCGTTATCTTATTACAGATACGCGGCTCAGATATCTTCCGATAAAGTTCGAGTGTAATATACGCATGTGCTACGATAGCAACGACGGCAATCCTCGTACGTACATCGTCACCGCTGGCAAAAATATTTACGTGTATCTGGTATTGTCGGTCGTCGGCTAACCCGGTAGTTTGTTACCCTATCAATGAACAGCCTGATTAATAAGACCTGTTGGAGCTTCGACGGTGCACGCGCGACTGTTGGATAATTGTTGTAAGTAATTCCGAGGGAACGGACGTTTTGCAACAATTACTAGGGAATGTTACATTTTTGTTTCAATTTGAACGCACGATTTCATTGGTCGCGTCTGGGTCTGTCGTTGAACTTTATTATTAGTGAATAATTTATTTATTTAATTTAATTAATTATGATTATTGAATATATTGCTTATTTTTGAATAAGAAAAATTTAATGTATCTTATTCGATAAGTACGAAGCTAATTATGCTCGAAAATAAAAGTACCCTACAGTAAAAGGTCCTATTGCTCTGTATTGCTTTGTGTATGTAACGAGATCGAATTTATTTCAATTTAACAGCAGTTTTATTAAATATATTTGACGATAATTTGCTGAATCGGTTTCGGTGAATGCATGATTATAATTTCGATTGCTGAAAAAAATAATATCTGAAAACGGTGATTTTATTGGCCAGTGTTAACAGCACAATAACCGGAAAAGTGACTAGATTGCATTGCTTTTTAATGACACCGAGACATCAAGACATCATGATACCCTACAATTTTTTATTTCATAATGCAGCTAAATAAATATTTATCGACTACTCGCAGAATTATCTCTATAATTTTAACAATTGCCACATAAAGAATCTGTAATTCTTCGTCTCGACAGAATTGGTAGCTCCAGTGTTAAAATAGAGGAGAAATGGCGGAAGGGAGAAACGTGATTATCGCAAATACAAGGTTATGTTGGCGATTAAATTTTTTACGAGCTTGCTGTTCCGTAATTTGTTGCAGTAGACAATTTTGGGATAGATTCGTTTATAAATAAGGAAATCGTAAAAGAGAGAGCGTAATTCTGGAACTTCTGGACCTTCTGGAACTTTTCTGGAACCTTTCTGGAACCTTTCTGGAACTTTTCTGGTACTTTCCTGTAATTATTTTTGTAATTATTTCTGTGTTTGAAATATAATTATTTGAAATATATTGTTTGAAATATAATTATTTGAAATATATTGTTTGAAATATAATTATTTGAAATATATTATTTGAAATATAATTATTTGAAATATAATTGAGATATATATATAATTTGTATAATATACATATACATATAATTATATAAATACACATATAATTTGAGATATGAGCCGTTTATTTTGAAAGTGGCATAAGTCACTTTGTTTTTAAGTCGATATATTTAAGGGTTTGCGTTTTAACACGTTTAAAAATATGGATGCTAACTTTCGAGAAGATTTACTTGTATTTGTTATCTCAGGATACTGATATTTTTCTCAGTATAAATAATTTCGTATAAACATTAAAATATCACCACTTTTCATTACGGTGTAAAGTGACTTATGCCACTTTCAAAATAAACGGCTCATATATAATTTGAAATATATTATTTGAAATAATATTTCATTTGAAGTATTATTATAATTGTTCGCGATAGCAGTGAAATTCTTCTCGGAACTTTTCAAACGAAACATTTCATATTTCCTAAAACATTATTTCAGATAACGTGACCAAATCCTACGTCCACGTGTGTGGGTGACAAGGTAATCAACATATTAACGAAGTATCCAACTAAGACGATCACGATCGGGCGTTTCAGACAGCGGTTGCAGGTAATAGACGGAAGCAGCCGAAGAGAGGCGATACTAATTACGTATTCATCGTAAGCAGTCAAATTTCCGTTCTATCAGGGCAAATCCAGATACCGTTCAATTTCGAAGATGGCGGCCGGTCTCACGGGCTCGGCCTCGGTCTAACGCTTCGGGAAAGGAGTTAGCACGCCTAAGCACACTTAAGTCGTCGCCGTAAGAAAATGACGAATGCCAATTAGCATATGAAAAGCTTCCCCCGTTCGCCAGTTCGTTCGGACGAGCGTGGCTCTCGACTCCTCCGGGCAGCTCCTTCCTTCTCCGGACGCTTGGCAGGGCGATCACGTTTTTGAATATTAAGGGCAGGATTACACCCAGGGCTTAACGCGCGAAATTTAGTCTGCCGGGGCCAGGAACGAAAAGAAATCACCCTTAAGACCCCGGAGTAACGGCGCGAGAAGAGATGCCAGAAAATCGGCGGAACGAGGTCCTCACGGGCCTTCGGTTGTCCTCGTCACCCCCGGCATGCATCATCCCCTTAACCGATCATGCTGGTTCAAGGTGATAAATGAATAACCGTGCTTCAGGATCGCGAGGAGGATCAAACCTGCGGCGCGACGTCGAAAAACTACCGGGAAAGTTTGCCATTGTTCTGGCTGCTTCGGGGTGAGAATTGAAATGGCAATCATTGGGCGGAGGATTGTTTATGCGAAATCGAACATTTCTGTGTCGTTTGTTAGAAACAAAAAACATTGAAAAATGTCTTCCTTTTTTTTTAATAGTTGCTGGTAAGGTATTGGATGTTCTTCGATTATTTTAACATTCGAACGAATCATTTCTACTATACAATGATATTATTCCATTATACTATGATGTTTATCACCAGACTGGTGTCCTTTATGCAAAATAAAAAGATTGAACTTTATTTAATTAGTTTATACCAATGTCGGCTCTAATAGTTTTAATAAGGCCAATTTTATTTATAGTTGTAATTATCCATAAAAGATTTATAATTAAGTCCTTCGTACTGTGTTTAAATATATTTACGACCATGAAATGTTGTTGCTGATAACTCCGTATGGAGCAAATCGTGCAAAAATTGAGATTTTGCTATACAAAGTTGAGTCGAAACAAAAATCGTCGTACCGCTGTGAAATTGTTCAGGAAAAAAGATTCAGTGCTTTTATTTATGTACTTTACACGATTACCTTATATAGTATGACTAAGAAATGATAATTTAGTGTCGCCATATCGATGACATCCGAGTGCAAAGGTTTTCTAGTATAGTAAATTCTCCCTAATTGACGCTCAGCTTGAAAACGAAAATGGACAATTTTGGAAGAGGAGAAACGATTCATCGAACCCTGCGACTCGTTTTTTATAATTGTCGACGATCGGTAACTATAAAAATTGCCCATTTTTGTTTCCAAGCCGAGCGTCATTTAGGGAGGATTTACCGTAATCCTTGTTTCATCGGCGGAATGATTAAAAAGATTAATTACATGGAGGACCAACGACGTTGTCCACGAAGGGTTCTCAGGCTGTGCCATACGTAATCACAGCGATCACACGGTGTCTCGACCGCTATGAGAGAAATATAGAAATGTATCTGTACAGGCGTATGTAAGTACATCTATAGATATCTCACGGAGGAGGATGCAGGCTTTCCATTAGCAGAGTAAGTGACCATCGCCAGCATTTTCTTTGATGTTGGTTAATTTACTAATAACATCGTTCCACGGCTACTCGCCGTCCACCCTCTAAATATTTGTATCGCTAACATATCGACTTGTCCTCATGTAATTAAGCCACATTATTATTTGAGTGGGAGCAGCTGGGAAAAAGACCCGCCGCAGACCCAACCTCTGAACCCGCCCTGAAATGAAGTTTCCATCAGCCACGTTGCTAAACTGCTCGAGGATGATTTTATATGCAAACTGTCGGCGAGGCAGGATGTTCCGTGTGATTACAACTTCCACGGAAGTCGATTCACCGTCGAGATCATTACGCAACCTTTAATCGAATTATTTTCCGCCGCGTTTCCGACCGTTTCGTATTTCCCGTAACAAACGCTCCAACCCTAAAATTCACGTTTCCATAAAAACATAAACTTCCATACGGATCGAGAATAACGATGGTAAAGTCAGTTTATGGGTTCGATATTCGAAAAAGTTTTGCGCGCGCGCGCGATTTCTGCTGAGAATTAACGTTCCTTTACTTTTTTAGGTATTACGAACGTGATCGGCACGAACAAAATTTAATCGAATAGCCTCATAGAATTTCCAAAATTAATAGAGGAATCAGCTGCAGAGATCCTCATTTTATTATTCTGACCTTCACAGTATACGAGGTCGTTGCTTCATAATCTGTGATCATGATCTCAGATTACTACGTACTTCACAGTAAATGTTGACAAAATCTAACAACAAGAAAACTTATGTATCTCGAAACATCAAAGAATATGTACGAAAAGAGCGAGCAAGATTCGTCGATGATTTAAGCTCTAAAAGAATGATCGAAAATCACCTTAATGTTAACGGTTCGCTTCGGGCTCCCGCCTTAAACCCGAGATTCGCTAATAAGGCACCGAAGACGTCTTAATAAGGTTCCCGCCATTGATATTAAAGGAAACTTCACAAGGTACGTCGAGCGTATCATGGCGCTCTTACAATGTACCTAATCGAGAACATTCTGAAAGCGTGGCCTCAGACGATTAGCGGAAGATTAAAAAGAGAAAAAAAAAGAAAGGAAAGAGATCCTGTTCGCGGAGGGTTGAAAATCACGGGCGACCTTCTTAGGAGGGAATAGGGGGTGAGGGGGCAGGGTCAGGAGATGGTAGTCGGTTCGGCGATCTTAGCGGAGGATTACGTAGAATTAAATCCTGGACGGGGGCGTGCCCCCGTAACACTTAATTTTTCCCTCGATTTTTTAATCTGCCGGTAAATATCGTTCCACTCTGCCCCCTCCCTCCCCCCTCCCTTCGCCCGGCCGGCTCGGTGGGCCGCGTCTTCCTTGCTCTTCCCCCCCCCTCTCTCTCTTTCTCTCTCTCTCTCTCTCTTACCATCGTCAAAGGAGGAACCCATTTAAAAACCTCATCAATGCTTAAGCCCCCGTGCTACCATAGGAACTAATCCCTCCTATTTTAACGCAGAACGAAGGTGAGAGAGTGAACCGCGAATAAAAGAAAGAGAGAGCCGCAGGGATGCAGCGGTACGCGCTTTTAAAAGTAAGACTCTGCCTTTATTAGTAGATACAACAGTTTTATTTCCACCGAAAAAGGCAAAGAAGGAAGATGAAGAAGAAGAGAGACAAGGAGAGACACTTCGGATCGAAATCTCTCCCTTTGTTTCTCTTTCTTCCCGTATCGCTCGGCGTTCCTCGCTCAAACGGGCGTCCCCGTTTTCCAGAAACGAGCTTACCCGGACTTCCGACCTTTCAGATACTCCTAATTGGCAGTCAACTGTTCAAAAAGTGATAACACGCTGCTCTCGAGAAAGCCCAACCTTCTCGCGTGATCTATGCGTCAGCGGCCATTTTTGCGACGATCTTCGAGGTACGCGCGATTTTTGACTGATTTTTCGGCATTACTGTCCTGTATAGGAACCATAACTCTTCCAATCAAAACGAGAGAATCTGATCGTCGACAGATCTTTCGCAATCGATATTATAATCCTCGTTATCTGTAACGAATTAACGTTTTCGTCATCGATTATTATTATTTGTAACAGAAGACGATTTTCGTCGCGCGTCTGCGATGGTTACTCGTAACTAAAAACTATTTCCGTCATTTATAATGGTAATTGGTAGCCGAAACACTTCTAGCCATTTATAACCATGACACGTAAAAGTTCATTTTCTCTAACTTTTGCAATTTTTTAAATTTTTCTTTAAAATTTAATGACTACAATTTAATGACTTTGCGTGACGAAATCAATTTTCTATCGATGAGTTTTCCTATCTCCGACAGGAATATAAGGAGTACAACTAATTTTAAAATACAATAGGATCAGAATTGAACATGGATATATTTAATGCAAGTGGCCAATACGTTCGCGAAAGTAATCACGCGACACGAAATAACACGGATTATGTTAACCCTTCGAGAACGATCTCCAATTCTCGGATTCTTTCCATACAAACGTTAGTGTACAACGCTACAGATGTTACCACAGTAATCTGTGATTAAGTATAATAAATATCCCATTTCCAAAAATCCCAATTTTTTGAAAATCATTTACAGCAACTAGTTATCTCGATGCACAAAAGCACCAGCGCGTTAAGTGCTCAATATAAAATATACCCGCAAAATCAAAATAATTGAATTAATAAAATCGAAACTAGAAAGCTCGGGTTCGCGACAAGAATTCTTTACGCCCTAAATATCCTAGTAAATCCCAGCTCGTTGCTTCGTGTCGCGGCAAAAATACATCTCAAAACCTAGCTGAAAAACTAGTGTCGTCGAAAAGTAACCGAGCCAGTGCTCGGCGTGTTAACAGTGAAATAATATTATTCGGGTTCGCCGTTAAAGCCGGAATGGATATTTTATCGGTGAGTCCGCGTTCGGCATGCGTAACCATCTCGTGACCGTAACATATTTATCAAAAATATTCGTCGCAGCCGTCGAGCTTTGACCAGGTTCATCGCACACACTCGAAACAAGCTCGCGTCGCGACTGTAATACGCTTTAAACTGTTAATAGAGTATCGTGGAGGGTGTTTGGCTGCGGTTGAATCTCGAGTGTTGGGCCAACATTCATGATGAAATTAATCTGGAGCGACCGATCGGGGTGGTATCCGTCAGTTAAAAAGCTCCCGGCTTTCGCCGGCGGACCGTCCGTCCCATAGGTTTGCCCCCCTCCCCCTTTGACCTCGACCCTTCCGTGGGATTCGTTCAAATACGGATACATGTATCGCTGTCGTCGCTGTATTCGCCTCTGTTGATGTTCGTTTCGGGGACCAACTTTGCTCTCGACGTTACTAAGAGAGACGACTGACAGCTGTACGTGTGTGCGTGCGTGCGTGCGTGTGTGAGCGTGTAATTAAAACAGCAATTCATTTGCAGGTCCAGCAAACATCTCCGCACGATGGTTACAAATTATATTAACGAGCCGGATCTTGATATCATTATGGCAATTGACGGGAATGTAACAATAACGGTGGAGGATGAGGAATTTTTTTTTTCCAAGCCGGATAATTGACTGCTGAACGTGTGTGCGTGTAATTAAAAGAGCAATTCATTTGGAACGTTATCAAATATTTCTGCACGATGGTTACAAAATATAATATACATAGTAACAGTAATTTTGAAAATGAATGAAAATAATTATATTAGGGTACTTTCGATGAAAGGTCATCTTCCGTGCGTCAAGATGTGAAATAATGCTTTCACGAAAAAGAAAAAAATTGTAACGGTACGAGCATTTCTTGGATAAGATAGCAATGACGTGGTGGGGACGAGAAGCTAATACCTTGTGACAATAGTCATTTATTATCAGGAAAACACGCTTCGCCTGCCATCTATATGTCCTCCTCAAATTTTAATGGAGAGCGGAATAAAGAGTAAGAATTAGAAGTATTTTACCAACTATAAATCTTGATAAATCGACCTTTCACACCGTTTTCCCTTCTTAATCTAGTCCTCTTTATTCTTGACACAGTATACATTCATTATTTCTGACATTTGGGTCTTATTTAGCCGAAAGAAGTTTTTTTCCAAGTGTTGTATACATACATAGAATATGGTATAAATGTTGTATAAATCCGTTGTATTACACATGTAATTGGGATTTATTAAAAATTTAGTTGTCTTTTCTATTCTTCAATTCTTAAATATTATATGAATACAATATATCCGATAATAAAAATTCTAAGACAGAAAATTCTGAGAAATTCTGCTTATTCTTATCTATTCTTTATCTATTCTTTATCTATCTTTACGTTCCGTGAATGTAATCTGGAACTGTCTAACACGAAAGAATTTTTATATTTAAAGAAACTTTATAAATAATTTTCACTTTAAGATAGATCTATAATAAATGAACAATGTTCATAAATGTTTCTCTATTACTTCATAACATCTACATTATGTTTACATTTTTCTAATATTTTCGCATTGTACAATTTAACAGTGGAAAATCTTAACCGAAGTTGGTATTTTAACGTAGAATGACTAATCCGACAAAAAATGACATCTGCAAAACATCGGTAAACGCGTAATAAAACCACCGCATAAATCGTTATGTAAAAGAGTACCATAATCGTGGCTGGTTTGAAGCAATAATAACCAAATAAACACAAACGAGAATTTGCACAAAGATCCGCCGTTTATTGATCACCTTACACCTCAATAAAAAAAAAACTGGAGAAACTCGATTGTCCAGACAGACGTGCATCGTGGAAACAACAACGCGACGTCTCCGTTCAATTTCCTATCAGAGGCAGCCAATTACAGATTCAAACGAGCGGCAACTTCGAAAATGAAGCTCCGCAAAAAGACACCGCCGGCAGCTAACAGGTCCAAAAAGACTGGCAGCCGACTCCCCACTAATTTCTTCCGGATAAGTAATTGCCAGACAAATAAAGAAACCGGCAGGAAACTTTTCTTCGGAACCCCTTCGACGGATCCGTGTGTAAAAAGAGAGGGAATCGTGGAAAGTCTGTCAGCGCTGTGCGGCAGAGGTAGCATCATTGGCGGCGGCGACGACGACGACGACGTAAACAGAAAACACCCTCTTCTCTTTTTTTGCTCGGATGGAAGTAAGAGTTTTAAGAATCAACATTGCCAGATCAAAAGGCGCTTCTGATAATTGGCAGAAATCTTTTTCCAGGTGCCTTCGACCCGCCGGCAAAAAGGGCGTCGACGCGACGTCGCGGGACATCCGTGCACATCTTCGTTTGAAGATTAGGCGCGTTTCAGTGGCTGCCGCGGTAAAAACGTCGCATATTTATTTTTCCCGTCTGCGATACACAAGGCGGTCACAGTTCTAAGAGGTGCCGGTTTCAACTGCGGCGGGGGTGCGCGGCGGCTCGATGCAGTCTATCGACGAGGATCCTGGGGGTGGCTCCCGCAGCTCACCGAGACCACGCCGCCCCGCTGGGATGTCTTTGCTTTACGCTTTACTGTTATTTATCTCCGTGAAAGGTGGAATTCATGGCGGCGCGATGGTAGCGTCGCGGACTTTTCTTGCTCCAGGAAAAAAAAACCGGGCCCTCATCCCCCGACCGCTCTAAATGATTCCCGGTAATTTGCTTGCTAGAAAGGCTGGTTCAGGCGTGTCCAATAATTTAGACGAACGGCGTGCAGCTACATGCTACTGCAAATTCTCCCTAGAAGGCCCGGTGCTCGGAATTGAAAAAGGTAATCGGCGGACACTCGGGCACGATTCATCGAGACTCGTGGCTCGTTTTTATGGTTGCCGACACCTCGCGAGAGAAAGAGAGAGAGAGAGAGAAAGAGAGGAAGGACGAATCTCGAGGCAGTTGGCAAAAAAGGCAGTGGCCAGCATGCTGGTGTACATTAATATGATTAAGTAGTAATGCTAAAATAAAAACGGTGACTTAACTTTCTTGTTTCTAATTTTTTGCAACGTTTCGAAGGTAATTCGGAGGCCACATAACACGATTTGAAGGCAATTCGTAGGCCACATGACACGATTCGAAGGCAATTCGGAGTCCACGTGTCACGATTCGACGGTCACGTACCTTGTAGCTCCGCGGTTTTTCTTACCTGGCTTAATTACTGAAAACTATAATTTGCGACACGATACAAAATTCTTTGCGGGTGCTAAAAAGAATCGAAGGCTGGGCTCGATGACCTAAACGGTGCCGGTGGGTTAATATTGACTGATATTACCACGAGCCCAGGGCCGCGCGATCGGTCCACACCGCGGCGTCTCGTTGAAACAATGGATCCCATAAGCCATATATCGTTCGACCGTAAAGCATCGCGCTTAATCGAGACAACAGTATTGGCCGGACCTGAAAAGGGTTGAAAGCCTCCTTAATTTTGGTACGCGCATCCGAAAGAAAAGAACGAACGGACGAAGGAAGGGGTTAACTTCTAATTGTTTTGTTAAATGACGCGCGAGTAAGAATCCCGGGGAGGACTTAAGCCCGAAAGCGAGCGCCAGCGGTGGTTTCAGTTCATTCCATCTTCCGTCGTTCTTCCTGCTTTCTTTCGCCTCCTCTATTCCTCCTCTGAATCTTCCACCCTCTCTCCGCAACCCCCTCCCCGCAACCGGCCGCCGCAACCATCGCCCCGCAGCACCCCTCGACGCTGAGCCTCGCCGCTGCTTTAATTCTTAGCTTTATTCTCTCCTAAGACTCTCTCTTAATTTCTTATTTCTCCCTCTACCGATCCTGTCCTGCGTACTATCTTACCTTTCGCAATTTATATTCGGGAAGAACGGGAGGACCGAGAGAACAGCGCCGTGTAACCGAGAAGGACGGAGGGGCCATTGAATGCCGGGCTTAAGCAGACAATACTTCGCTTTCAAACGGCGGCTTCCAAGACCTTTCTTTCGCATTAGATACTTTAATTCTTTAAACGTGTTCCTCCGCTGCGATTGGTAAAATGCGCCCCGCCACCTCTACAGCATTTTCCAAAACTACTTTCGCCCCGGAAACGAAGCTCCATTTTTCGGGATATTACGTTCTAGCCGCGTCGGCTCCGTCGCGGCGCACTTTGCGATATCGCGTTTCAACCCCTTCGGGTTTAACGAAAACACTCTCGTTCGTTTCGGACGAATTTGTTGGTGTAAGCATTATTTTGGAACACGGTGTAACAATTTTTAGCGATGCCTCGGAGCCACCACTCGACTGTTAATTGTAACGAAATCATTTTTAATTTGTCGCATTTTTACAATCTAAATAACGGAAGAGACGAGCCGATAAATATACTTTTCAACTCGCGGCGTTTCTTTTCAGTTTCAATTGAGCAGCGCGTAAAATCGAAACACTTCGAACTGCGTGTTATCGTCTCAGACTGGTTGATAATCTGAGACTTCCTTCCGAAAAGTGATGCAACATTATTAGTTTGAAGGTGACTGAATCACCGAGACGTTCGAACGTTTCTGAAAGGATGTTCCTTAAGGCGGAAACTATCGAGTAACCGTCAAACATTAACTACAGGCAGTTTACAATGAGTTATCAAACGCTTTGGAAGTACTGACACGTGACCTAGACCCCGGGACCCGATACGAAACTATCAAAAGGATATCGCGGCTACAAACGTTTCGTGCTTGTCAATCGTACGAAGAAGTACTTACATACGTTTACCGATGTTATGGTTTCGTCGGAACTGGATCAAACACGGTGGAAGAGCAAAACTGAACGAATTATCAAAACGGGTTCGTAGACGTCTTTACTTATCAATACATTTTTTACTTGCACAACATTCTGCCAAACCGTGTCAACGAATAGTTTTTGGCACTGGATTGCAGATGCCCCAAAAAGAGAGACGAAAAACACGATTGTTTCGTTGTTCCATCCTGTCGTCATTTTTATAAATTCTTTTTTTCACACAGAGTCTAGCAAACAAGTCCTAATATTTATTGAAAAGATTATTACCATTTGAACCATTTGATCGTATATTCGTCCACGACTGTACGCTATATACGGTAATGTCTCCCTTACTGGCGCTCAGATTGTGCACAAAAACGAACAATTTGGGAAGAGGAGATACGATTATTCGAGCCTTGCATCTCGTTTTTATAGTTGTTGACAATCGATGACCATAAAAAACGGGCCCCAAGGCTCGAACAATCGTATCACCTTTTCCAAAATTGTCCATTGTGGACAATCTGGACAATTGTGGACAATCTGAGCGTCAATTAGGGAGACATTACTGTAGAAGGAGTATAAAAGTATTGGGTTGGCAACTAAGTAATTGCCGATTTGTTCAATGAAATGAAAAATTTTTTTTTATTTGGAATGAAGTTTAAGCTGTAATGTATTTTCCATTTTGTTCTTTTGCCATCTCTCTGACAACTTGAAAATTCCACGCTCGTAGAAAGTTTGATCGTTTTCGGCTAAAAACTGAGTTAAGTGAGATTTCACAGTGTCATCATCATTAAAAGTTTTACCACGAAAGGAGTTATCCAGGGATCGAAATAAGTGGTAATCCGATGGCGCGAGATCAGGGCTATATGGTGGGTGTAACATCATTTCCCAACCAATATCCATCAATTTTTGACGAGTGGACAAAGAGGTGTGCGGCCTAGCATTGTCCTGGTGGAAAATGACACCTTTACGATCGACCAATTCTGGTCGCTTTTCCTTGACCGCTGCATTCAATT